ATCAATCTATAGTGTAAAATATGTGTAGTAAATAAATTTTTCAGAGAAAGAAGTTTGGCAAGTAATATTAGCTTATATTTTTATAGAATCGAAATATAGTTGTTGATATATATAATAAATATCGAAATACAATCACTTATTTGTTTGATTTATTTTAACAATTTAACCTGGAATCAACTTACTAAAATTATATGAAATACAACTGAAATTGTAAATAAGAAACTTCAACATTACTACCGAATTGTTGATTAACCATAACAACAATATTCATTATTTACAAAATGGTTTCAAATCACTCAGGATAAATGTATAATTCCCATACTTTTACATTTCAGTAATTCTAAACCAGAATAGTAATATTTTATATAAAATGTTACTTTATAGACTAGGAAGTGACCAAGAATATTGGTACAATCTAAATAAGGAATATAAGCCTGTGACGTTTTATTATATATATATATATTGTAGTTATATTTATATATTAATTTTTGCCTCTTCAACACATTTTGAAACTTATACTAATTGGATATGCAAATGAAATGGTGTAAGTAGTATAAAATGTATTTCAAAATATATATAACAGCTAAAAATAAATTATGAAGATAATCAACAGTCACTAGTTACAATTTTCCAGACTTGAATATCCTAACACGTATGCTATATTATAGCCCCAACGTGACTACCAAAATAAAAAAAAATAAAAAATAAATAAAACAGCGCAAACGATTATGCACAACAGTTGTCGGCCTGAATGATGGTACACTAACTGTTTAAACTTTAGGTTTTAATTTTGCCTTTTCGCACAAGTAAGTTTCTTCACAATTAAACAAATTTATAGGTAGCTCCACGTGATCCAGAAGAAAGTATTTTTCCTTTATGGCGAATAATAGTTTGCTGTGACAAAAGATAAAATGTGTGTAGGTGTTCCAATTAACATTACGGAATGTTCGGAGGTGGGAGAGTATCATGTGTGACGAGCTATGTAAGCACTTGGACGACGCATTATAGTTCATTTCTGTTCAGTTATAAGTTGAATGTACTCTTTCTGAGAATATAAATGGGCGCAACACTGATCAACTTACTTGTGACTGATAAAGTGGAACAAATACGCACACGAAAATGAAACTTTAGAGCAATGGACTCTTTATATTCTATCAGAACCTCTGCAACAGCAGTTGAAACTAGTCGTGACGTATTATATTTTCACATACAGCATTTCAGAAAACAAATGATGCCCAGTTCCAACTTTTTTCCCCTTACATTTACGCAAGCTGAGACAGTTTAAGAAATGTCAACGTTTACATTTATTTCAGCAATTTCAATAACCAGAGAAACTCGAATTGATGTAGAAAGACAAGAAAGATCACCAGGCCCTGCAGTTTAATAATCTACATTTACATGAAAGTTTGAACTTTCTTATTATGAGCTCTTTGAAACTGATAACCAGCGACCGTCGAAACATTGGCAAGTTTATATATATTAACTAGCCAGTCATTTTAAACAACCTGTACCATTCAGTTGATTTATTCTGTGATGTAAATACTTGAGTGGATATTATTATGAACTAAAAGTATTTGTTAAAAGAAGATATTTGAAACATTTTGAAAACCATAATATCAATCGAATAGTTGATAGAATAAAAAGGCGTGACCGTACGAAAAAAAGAAAGAGAACACGAACACAAAGAAACTAGGAAACTACGCTTATATTAACTGGATTCATAGCATCAAGCAAACACATACTTAGTGTATCCACTTTGGATTGCAAAATTACTAAGGAGGAAAAGAGTGTGTGGGAGTCAAATCGGTAAAGATAAAAGCTGGTGTAAGAAACATACCATAGAGATTTAAGTAAAGCATTATTATCATGTCTACCTGAAAATTACAAATGAGGTATCAGTGGTAGCGTATGTTTTGTGAACATAGTATTTCTGCAACACAGCTAAATGTAATTAAATTTATGTTAAAAGAAATCATGCAGGATCAAAACTTAGATAATTCACAAAACAAGAAACACGATAACTCGAACGTTTGCAGATGGAATTTGCTGTAAAAGAGAAACAAGATGATAAACAGGTAAAAAATTGGTATTGGGGTTGCATTATTGTGCGTTTTTCTGTTGCCAACTACGTAAATTAACTAACAATAAGCCAGTTTTCTCTATTAGCTAAAATTTTGTGTGTGAATCTTTAATATGAGTACAGACTAACACGTAGATACACGATATATTCGTCAAACAATATCTTAAGAATTTAGTTATGTTGTTTGAGAAGAACAATCACAAGACTGTGAAGTCAGAAATTTACTTGAAAACATTCTATACAATGAATTTTTACACCGTGAAATGTTAAACAATGTGAAAAGGGCAAAAAACAATACGTTCTGCCTGATTAGAAATAATTATAACTTATTTGTACAAAGTGAACATTGAAACATAATTAATTTTGTTTGAATTTTTTGCATGCATTACATATAAGTGAAATGTAGAAAAACGTCTGCTTAATGTTACAAATAGATACGTATTGTGTAAATAATAGGAAAACAAATTTAACATTTTGTCAAAGCAATTTTAGTGGTATGCAACCTATTTTTGCTTTATGAAATTCGTCTTTTACATCACAAATTAAAAGTCCATAATGAAAACTTTGTTTTAATTTTTATCGGTAAATAACGAGTTGTTTCTTTGATCTTGTTAAAATTTTCTAATACATCAATTTTTTAACACTCTTTGCTACGTTGTTACCAAGCTTACTAATATTATTTAAACAGCAAGTTTGGCATATTTCAGGAACAAGAAACATACCGCATCACATTATACTTGGTAGAAGCTTTAAAGTGATAAAAACCCTATTCACGTTTTTTGCATAAGGTGTTAAATTTTGGGAACAATAAAACATCCACAAAAATAGACATGTAAACTACAGAATATTGTACAAAACCCTGTCGAGTTTTTATTTATTTTAGTGACAATAAACACCTAAAACTTTTCAGTTAATAATACTTTTTTGTTTTACAATAACTGCTAACTTTTCATGCTCTGATCAACTGTAATAATGTTTGAATAGGGTTTTTACAGTTTTATTTTTTCTTGCCGGTAGGTAACTTAGTATACTTCAAAGGTGCAGAGGAGAGGCAAGCAATACTTCTAACACTTTGCTTATCAGTAACATTTATAAGAATTCCAGTAAAATATACTAAAATGTTCTTCATCAATTTCTTCAGTTTTTTTTTTTTTAGAGAGTTGGTCAATCTTTTTCTGAACTAAGAGGGTTAACCTAATTTTTGCTTCGGACCACAACCTTCTTGGTAATAATTTTCAGCCATTATTATTTAATATTTGTCCTTTCGTAGACTCAAATGATTACAACATGGTTTTAACACTATGAAACGAGACATCTACTCGTTCGTCCGACCAAATGTTAATTTATTTAATTACTATATTTTCTAGACCTACTAGACAGGATGTTTTTTTTTTTAAATATAAAATGCAATTTTAGAGAATAATGTTTTAAAAGTAAATTGCAATTGGCTGACTAACATCTAAGTGGACATAAGCTTATATATATATATTTGAATATGTATTAGTTTTGAACGCTTCTCTTCTTCTATGACACTTGAATCTAATAGCTAATTATATCAGAAACTTATTTGAAAGTCAAGCTCTTGGTAGATTATATTATTAACAAGTAAATTATCGTGCATGTATGGGTCACTGGAACATAGAATGAGAAACATTTGTAAAATCTATAACATCGTTTAACAACACAGTGACTGGCTATTGGGTGCAGTTTGCACCTCTTATTTTGGAACAAACTATTGATGATTCTACCATGTTTAAGTAATGATTCTTAAAACATCTAGTATTTGTTGCTGAATTTACATGAAGACTTCATAAGGAAGAATCTAGATAGTGTAGGTATAGAGCCAAGGTATGTAGTAACCTGGAGGTTAACTAGCCCTACTTACAACACGAATCACTTCATGGACCAGGGAAGAAATGTTAATCAGGGTTTACAGGATAAAGAAGAGAACGTATTTTTGTGCTAGTTTCTTGTTGCTCATTTCTATTTCTTTGGACCTGATCATTTACTTGCAATTTTCAACTGGCACAGTTGAACAGTTGTTTGCTGGCTTCGAATTGCTTCGTCTTTCGCACCCCTAGACACAATAAATAACATAATGTATTTCAGAATATCGTTAATTTGAAGTACACTTTTGGAAATAACGAAAGCCTAATGACTGACATTTAAATTCATTGCAGAAGCAAAGTTACAAAGAGTAATAAATTCTTAAGTAATCACTGGGGAGTGCCATAAGCACATAATTGCCAGAGTTGTACAGATCACATAGTTAAAACATTATTCTTTGAGCCAAATACCATAGAAATTAAATTATTAAGAGCCGTTTACAACAACCAGCAGTTGTTACTTTAGCCAGAAGAGATAAATATATAATTTTAAAAATCTTTTAAGTTGCGTTGTGGCTGTTGTGTTTTAGACGATAAACACTTTAAGCATAAAATATGCAATATGCCAATATAGTATATTATATAATTAATTATGTCAAAATGCCAATACATGACACTTTAAATGTAGTCACTACACAAGTCAAAGTTTTCCTCCAGTTCAGTATCCGATTTTCATACTGTTTAATTTATATGAGCTTATCCTAATTTTTGTATTAAACATAAGAAATTTATATCGATTCTACAGTTTCAAATATTGATTTTATCACGAACAAACTAAGCATAGCGCGGGAAAGCAACATTTCGTTCTGTGTACATTATTTCGTCAGATAATTATATAATAGATAAGAGTTTAATCGTTCTGAGCAATGAACCTAAGTTATTACCAAATAAATTTTGAGCTGTATTCAGGTTTATAGGCATTTCATCTGTGCAATCATGTTAAACTTTATGACTCTACAAGTGTTTTCTCTTAAAGCTAGGCTTTGATAATATGCATGAAATAGAAACGACAAGATGTTAACATTTTGTTTCGCTTACAAATATCGTGTGAGATCCTCAATGTCAACCAGCATAGAATCCTGTTCCATATGTAGATCGTCTCTTTCTAGCAGCAGTTGCACTAACTCTTCATTTAAATCTGTAATCAGAGGAATAAGGTTACCGTATAAAGAAATGAAGTCAGATTAAACAGAGCAAAAATGCTTTTTTATTACGTATTTTTCAAATTAATTCAGGATAAAAATAAATAAATAAAAAAACCAAAAAATAAAGCTACAAAAACTCAAAGTGTGAACTTCACTTTCTACTCAGGATTCCTCTTAAGTGAGCATGCCTGACTAAACCTCTTGAATTAAGTTATCAGAAATAACATTCTTAAAACCTAACAACATGAATCACGCCTAGATATACAAGTCAATAATTTATTCACTGTTTCTTAAATTTCCTTAACCTTATGTACCTATGTTAAGATTATGGTCATACAACGTCATATACATAAAATATGAAATCATATTATGGATATATATAAATATATCCTGTAACTTCTCTTCCACTGTGAAGCTCCTAGTGGCAACGATTAAATTTCTGTCAAACCAACTTCAGTTTTGATTGTCAAACATGTTCTGTAGATAGAAAGTTCCCCAACATTTCTGTCAATATCATCATAAATTCTAATGCACTAACTATGTTGGATTATTAGAATGTCTAGTTAATATGTAGAACATTACATTTATTTAACGATTTCCTTCACTTAACGTTTCCTGCTTGGGAATTACGCAATGGTAATTTAAAATTATTTTCATATGACCAAGACAGTCTTTGGTCTACAAAATTCAAAGAGGTTTAATTACCTCGTAGAAGAATAAAACGGTTCACTCGTTTCACCTTTCTGTTTCTGAGGCCCTATAACAACGTATTTAAAAAATTTACATGTTACCCCTATACATAAGGTGTCAGCCTCAGCATTTTCCTGGGACACTTTTAGTCACGCATTTGCCACTCGTAGCCGGTCCGTAAGGGAAAGTTTGTTTTTGAATTTCGCGCAAAGCTACACGAGGGCTATCTGCGCTAGCC